ACTGCTTTAGAGAGAACAGACTAAGATGAAGTGCAGTGGTTGGATAGTAGAACTTTTATCTAATTTTTTTGTCAAGTTGCATTCCTTTTGGATCACTAGGCACACTGTATCATGTACCCACAGTACCACATATAGTTAGTTTTGCACCCAGTATATCACCATACGCTAGATGAGGATTAAAGCCAAAGCATAGGAAAGGGAAGTGGACGCAGAACAAGAAACAGTAACTGGAAAGAACGGAGTCACTGTGGAGTTCATGGAAGAAATATGGCAATAAGAAGAGCCAATCTGTCCCCTTAAATATTAAATACATTCACCAAGTTATTGGCATTGTTGTTTTCCTAGGGCTACCATAACCAAGTGCCACATAACAGGTGGCTTAAAACAATAGAAATTTATTTTCTCCAAATTCTAGAAGCTAGATCAAAGTGTTGGCAGGACCATCTCTGAAGTCTCTATAGATGAATTCTTTCTTGCTTATCACTGAACCTACTTCTACCTATTATGGGTTGAAATGTATCCCAGTTCTGATATAAGTCCAGTCTGCCTCCACCTTCACCTGGCCAACTTCTGTGTCTATCTCTTATAAGGACACCAGTCAGATTGGATTAAAGACCCACTTTACTCCAGTAGACCTCATCTTACTAATTATATAAGGTCACAGTCTGAAATATGGGGTGTTTAGAATGACTTCAAAATATATTTGTATTGGGATACATTTTAACCTATAATAGGTAGAAGTAGGTTCAGTGACAAATTGTAAAGTTTTTTCACTTTTATAGGTACCATGAACTTTTTATCTTAAGCTTTTTCAGTTTCACTGAAATTTGAAACTAATTGTTCATGCTACCATTATATCAAATGATTGTCCTTTTGAAAGATTCTTCAGTGTGGTCTTAGATGACCATTTATTTTTAAAAATTAAGATTCACTCATTAGATAATCTAGTAGCAAAATACCTTGACAATAGAGCATTTTACATACCTCTGGTAAAGTTCACACTTAACATTTTATGTTTCTGATAAAAAGGGCTCCATGTAACAGAGTATGAGGATAATATGAAGAAATCATGGGTATGGAAAGAGCTATATGCTGTTAGAAATATAAGACCATCCTGCCACGGACTGCTGGGTGTATATGGAGGGATGATTTACACTGGAATATTCTATTGGATATTTAGAGGAATGGAGCCATGGACCCTCAAACATAAAGGTAATTCAAAGATATTTGAGAGTATAAATGTTATAAGCATTAAAGATTCATAAATGAGAGCCATTAATTAGTGGAGAAAGTGATGATGTTTTAATATTTTTAACTTAAACACTAAGTTTAGAGAAATTATAAATTCAATGTCTTTAAGATTATAGTGTGTAATTACAAGAAGGCTAAAGTCCTATTTCTTTGTATAATATTTTCAAGTTTTTATAAGAACATGTTTAAGAAAGTACTTCAAAATTCTAGTTTATTAAACATTTCCCTCAAAATTGTTGAAGGTTCTGACTCTGATCAGCTCAAGCCAGCCAAGGATTGCACACCTATTGAGTATCCAAAACCCGATGGACACATCAGTTTTGACCTCTTGTCATCTGTGGCTCTGAGTGGTACTAATCATGAACATGACCAGCCAGCACATTTAACCTTAAGGGATGATACTGTACCTGTAAATAGAAATCTGTCAATATATGATGG